TTTACTGTGGATAAATGGAGGGCTTTAAATCAGCCATCTGTTGCTGCCCAGCTACCTCGCCAGAGTAGAAGTGACATACCCGAACCTTTCAAGGACATTAGTGTTGTAGACTAACAAGGAAGGGAGCTTTAATCAGACACAACAACCCTGCAGAGCTCAAGCTGGTTGATTCTTAACATCTTTTATCTCACATTGCTCCCTTATGGAAGAATTTGCTTTTATTGCAGCAGATGTTGATATTTTACTAATTGCAAGGCTTATTTTTAGAGAGACGCCCCTTGTGAGGTGATAAATGCAGCATGACTGTTGCTGGTTTGATTTGAGCAACACAAGGGATGGGAAAAATGATTTGGGGGAGTAGGCACAATCAAAGAAGAAAGTCCATATGGACTAAAAACCTTATTCAACTGTGAAAAGGTTGTCTTGCGGAACCTATAGATTTTAGTAGACGCTGCTGTTTACTCCAAAGAAAAATAAGAAAAAATAAGAAAGTGTATTCCGGTTATGACTTTTCACAGTTGGAGGATGAACAATGTGATAATGTCAGCCAGTTTTCTGTTTTGCCCTGCTGAGTTCTGCAGTCACACAGTGTTGACTCTTGTTAAAAACAAGGCCAAATCAGGGTCGTAATCAGCCTTGGAATCACGTTGTATGTTCCCAAGTGAACCCCAAGAACTGGACTGTTTATTAATCTGAGTGAGGGCAAGTGTAATGAGTTTGGAGACTGCTGCTCGACCGCAGGACACAAGTTTAAGTCTCGTATGCCCAGCTGAAGTGTCCTTGAGATTGGATGGGATTTTTCAGCACCTCTAGAAACCCTTTTTTCTGTTTCCCTGAACTTTGAGCTAAAAACATTTTCCTAAACAAAGACATATATTCCCTATCTCATGAATTCATCGTTTACTTTACAGATCCTGAATACATCTCCATCATTTCCCAAATGTCAGATAACTTTTTAGTTCTTTAAAAAAAAAAAAAACAACAACTCCCCATTTTAGTTATCCATCCATGTCCAAGTATCAAAATCAGCAAGCATCAATATGTAACATATGTATGGTTTTTATTCCGCTATGAGTAGGTGTTTTTTTTCACACCCATATACAGTTATGTGTAAAAAAAGAGTTTCCTCAGGGCCCTTTGGTAGCTCGCTGAACCACATTTAGCAGCAATAACGTGAAGTAATCATTTTCTGTTTTAGTCACTGAAAGAATTTTGCCCCACTCTCCCCCACTTATAACATTGTTTCAGTTCACTGAGCTCGGCCAAGTTTGACTCGGCCATTACAACATCTTGTAATTCTTTTCATGTTTAGTCATTCTGTTGCAGATTTGCTTCTGTGCTCATTGACCTGTTGCTTGGCCCAACTTGGGCCAAGCTTTTTCTGCCAGACAGAGAGCCTCAGATTTGACTCTAGAATATTTTTGGTATTGATGGTTGTCTTGATGCTCTAGTCCTGTGGCTGCAAAACAAGCCAAAACCATCACTACTCCACTATCGTGCTTCAGAGTTGGCAATTGTGCTGATATATTTGATTTAGTTTTTACCTGATATTTTCTTCCACATTGTGTCAAAACATCTCAACTTTGGTCTCATCTGCCTTGTTCCATAAGTCTTGTGGTTTGTTCAGATGAAACTTTGCAAACTTAATGTAAGCTGTGCCGTTCTTTGTAGAGAAAAGATGTTTTCTCCTTGCAACCCTTCCAAACAAGCCATACTTGTTCAGTTTTTTTCTAATTGTGCCATTTAACATGATAACTGAGGCTTGTTGAGTAGAAGATGCAGTTCATGGATTTTTTGCATTTTCTCTGGATATTGCATGACCTGACTTTGGGGTGAATTTGCTTGAATGCCAGTCTATGCAGGCTCAGGAAGACTGCGCCAGTAGGGCCACAGTCTTCCTGCAAAGAGTCCTATATAAAAAACATTTTCGTTCACATGCCTGTAGTACATGCTTCATCACCATTCATTTTTACCAGTTCTATACTAATGCAAATGCATTTGGCATTTTGGAAACCTGCCTGTGAGACATCTCTAGAGTTAGGGAATGCAAAACATAGTTCAGTTTAAATGTGAATGAAGTTTATATTTAATTCTGAACTAAAATTTTAGATCGGAAATTAATTTGACACGGATCTTACACCCTTATCGTCACCTGTTTTTAAACCCTCTGCGCCAGAATTCAAATAACCTGCCAGCGAGGAACATGGAGCCACAGTTAAATTGTTTTTGTAAAAAGCTCCCAGTTGAAGGCACAGAGTAATTTCAACTGGCAGCCAGCAAGACCGGTGCCATTAGTGAAATACAAGATGACAAACTGCCATAATAGTGTCCAGTTGTCTGTTGACTGACATTAATTTGACATGCATTCAAACAGTGCGCTGTATGACTTGTTAAAATGTCATTGTGGTGACAAGTGCGGCACATACGCTGCATAATCAACCACAAATCACGATTAAATAAGTCTGAAATGGAGAAGGACACGGTAATGAACGCAGGGAAGGAATATGAAAGAGACACATCTTAATGATGCACCAAATATTTACAGACATCTGTAAACCATCTGCAAGTAATTATCACATCTGTTTACAGTAAACGCAAAAGCTTTCTTTGTCCTTAAGTTCATATTTATTTGTAAAAGGAAACAGGTGCTCATTGAAACATTTGACTAGTTAAATGACACAAACAGTTTTTTTTTTTATTGTTTGATAACACAAATTTTTTTATCTACAATGACAATGAAGTTTCTATTCATACAACAGTTATAATATAACGTTTTATACATGAACTGAAAATACAAAGTTACAGTAAACATGCCTTTTGATAAAAATATTTTTACAAAAAAATGTACATTTCTATACAACAGTTATCAGTTACACATCTCTACAAGTCCCACGATTCTGGTTTAAACCTGCAAGTACTCCAACAAACTGTCAGTGTATTATTTTTTATTATTTTTAACTTTTAAAATTCATCTAGCCTTTTTTGAAATAAACATGATAAGGGCTATTTACAGCGGAAAGAAAAGCGAGTTGAGCCAAAAGTGTTCTAAAGTGACCCAGATAAATTACGACAGTTAAAAGCAATGAGGGGTTTTTTTCTGTGTTTTTGCAGAATATTTGACACGTCACCATACTGTCCATCAAAAAACAGGCTACCAGCAAAAAAAGAACCCAGACAAAAACCCCTCCCCCAAAACAAACAAAACCAAAAAAGATAAACATGTTGCAAAGCCATTTCCTTTAAACATATTCGGGATACAAAAATAGTGCTAAATATTACACATTATCATCATTCACCAGATGCTTATTTTGAATGAGCTTCAGGATAATCTTTTTTTGATTTTATGCATGTTTTTCCCCAAGTAGCCCTGCCAGGACTGAGTAGTGTATTTATAATATTGTGCAAAGTGACTTTCCATTTTCGAAATCTTCTGCTGAAGGGAGTTTATTCAACCAAATCACAAAGAAAAATTGGCTTACCTACTCTTGGTGGCATGGAATTTTGATAGCCTTGGTTTGGTACTTTCAAGCTACAATAATTTTTGTTTATGCTTTTCAAATCACTGAACAATTGGAATCAATTCGAATACAACCAACACATTAACTGGTATTCATAGTTTTTGAGAACAATTATTTTCTCCATAGTCAAAAAACAATTAAAAAAACACCACAGATGAGTGTATTTTTTTTAGATCAATTACGACACTGTTTTTCAAAAGAATGCTGAGTCATGAATTTATATTTTATCTTGGTTACACCAGGGTGGATCAAACCTTTAGCAATTCAAGGAACGCCAACTTAAAAACAGGGTCTCAGCTTTATCAGGAAATTCTTGAGAAAGTCTTTTGTATTATTAACAATATGAATTATGTATAACCAGTTTCTAATTTGGTATTTTGAGTGAAACAACCTGTGAAACTTTCATCAAGACTGAATCACATAATTAAAAATGTCTTATATAGCCTTCTTATGTATCCAGGATGCATCTTTTTAGTAGCGTTACTCCAAACAACAACCCTTCTTCATTAGGGAACCTTTAAACTATGCTAATAGCTTTAAAATAATGCATACCAGCTGATGGAGCAACATGGTGCTAACTAGCTACATGGCATTGTTAGTTATTATAGTTCAACTACTAATAAGAACTTCAACAATCTCAAATAGGGCTGGGTTATATCATACCGTTCACGGTAATACCAGTGTTATGTTGGGCAACGATAGGAAAATGAAATAGTGCGATAGAACATGGGTAAAACGCGCATGCGCAGTGCCTTTGTTTACATACGCACATGGCGGCGACGCAGAATGAGAAGAGCAAAAGTGGATCGTTGAATGAAACGGATGAACCAGAATTGGTTTGTAAAAATGCTGCAACGTCAGTGGTGTGGAACTGGTTTAGCTTTCTTCCGCCAGATACACAACAAAGCACTATTTTTGGTAGCGCTTGCTAGCTGGCCATCGTTATTACCGTGTTGTTTGGAAAATACAGCACACTTAAAATCAATCCTTTGATTTTTCTGAAAATCGACAGTGCCCCTTATAATTACGTGTGCCTTATGTATGAATTCTGGTTGTGTTTAGTGACCTCGAAACGATTTCATGTGGTACACGGCGCTCGAAAATCTGTCAAATGTTTTAGTACGACTTTGCTAAGCTACGAACCCGCACCGCTTGATGGATTGTCGGAGCATTACGGCTATCGTAGTCAGGAGCCTGGCGTACTGCGCTTCAACATAATATTACCGTATTGTGTGTGTAGAAACTCTTTAATTTTTGTGGATATTATACATGGTTATGCTGAGGATATGTTGGCCAATTTCCACTGGAAATGCCTTTTGGTTAAACTGTCAGCAAGGAATTTGCATTTGCACTGTTACATTTTTATATAACTTTAATGCACATAAAAAACAGCTGCTTGTTTAAGTGAAAATACATTGATGTTTTTTTCTTTTTTGCACAGATAAAGTTCAGGAGTTGTAAAGTATTTTGTCTAGTGTCAATTATATCGTCAGTTATATCGTCAAATTTTCAAATGTATATTGTGATAAATATTTTTGGTCATATCGCCCTGCTCTGATCTCAAATATGTATATAACATACCATTTAATATAAATACAGCGGGCTGAAACTGGCCTGTTTCCTTCTTACTAACATTAACTATATCATAAACATATCCAAGAATGGGGAAGTTCTTATTAATACCTTTGATAATTCAGAGGTTCAGAACCAATCAAACGGTTTAATTCTGGGTTTTTAAATGTATTTTACATTGCGGGCCACATACACCTGAATTGGGCTGGACCAGTGAAACTACATTATAAATATATAAAATTACAGACGAGGTTCTGGCAGGTCATTGCCCATGCTGTCCTGTAATTCTAAAAAAACAAAGTTTTCATTAACTCACAAAAAAATGTCCTTTTAATTCAGTGGACTCACCAAGGACTGTTAATTGTGTCTGCTAGCAAAACAACTGCAAAATAAAAGCTCCTGTGGGTCGGATATCCTCCCAGCATGCAAAATGTCCCACAAAGTTTTTATAATATGAAAACTAAACCTTAATGAGAAAAAAATAGGGATGCCAACAATACAACATGAGGAAGAAGAATGGAAAGATTGTGTTATCCCATCATTCTGTTGTTTGTGTTGCGATACGTAGCAAGAACTTGTCGGTATCCAAATTCCAGTTTAAGGCTTTTATATTTTTATAATTTAAACTACAGTATTTTGAAACCTGGAGTCAGGGTGTGATTTATGAAACCAAACAGACGTGTGGGAGTTGTTTTCTTTCCCCATGAAAATAATGAATGTATCACAGTGGTCCTATATACTCTGAGGCCAGTTAGAATATTTAGTACTGCTGTCAGTGTAATGTTCATAGAATAACGACAATCATCCATTTAAAACACGACATTTACGAGAATATGAACGGTAAAATTAATATGTGTAATATTCTCTGTCTCGTGTTTTCCCCTTCAGACACAGGTAATCGACTCAAATGCAAGAACACAAATGGTGAAACTTTTCAGTCAAACACTAAAACACTGACAGTTTTTACTGTAACGAAGGCGTGAACAGAATTTTAGCCAATATGCATCTTCATCAATGCTACACAGCGATGAGCTGAGACACCTGGGTCTCAACAACAACCTCCTCTCAGCAGGCTTGGAACAGCATCAGCTTCTTATTGTTTGAATTAACACTGCGGTGGTTAAATTTGAATGGCGGAAAAATACCAGAGTAAACTTGACTTGAATAACGAACACGTTGAACACGTCCATTCACTTGGGACGTAATTCAATTTGCAGCAATTTATGTATAATCAGGTAAATTATAATTGCTCAGCTAAAGCTGAAACTATATGTAGATTGTTATGCAATCCACATAAACAGTTGAAGAAATTCCAATGTTTTCTTTTTTACTGTTCGTAAGCTGCACCAAGTGAACGGTCAAATGATCTCAGTGCCTAGTGAAGTTGTTTTAATGAAGCACTATGCTTTATTTCAAGTTCGATTATTCCAGAAATTTCGGGGTTCTGAATCAAAGATCTCATCCTGAGATAGTATCAAAGCCTGCCAATGTTTAATTTGAAATCATAACAAGTTCCACCATTTCAAAAAACCTTACTTTGCTGGCTCGACTAGATAAAATGGAATCAATGCAGGATGCAGAAGGAGAGGGTGAAGGAGAAAGGCGCTGGCTCCTGAACAGCAGCAGTCCATGTTGGGATGCACAAGCTGAGCGGGGAGGAGTGCACTGAGACGTTAGGGCACTGCTCCCTGGCAGGAGGCCTGTGCCAGTGTTGGCTCTCTACCACAGGAAGCCCTTTCTGCTTCTGAAACTTGGCAGGAGTTGGAATATATGATGGAACAGCCCCACAGGGCATTTGTGTGATAAATGGATAAAGCTGGATAAAGTTATGCTCACAGCTATTGGCTTATGTATGAGTCAAATCCGAAGCAGACGGCAGCGATGTTTCATTCTTTTGCTGAATTTCCTACCACGGTCACAGATTGTTCTGTCATTTATTCATTTGATATTTGAGCATAAACAAAAATTCTTTGAAAAACAGAAATTACAGCACAAGGATATTTCAGAAGAGCAGTAACAATAGACCAAAACATTTCCATCTTTGAACACAATTTCATTTAGAAATCCAAATAAATCCTTTTAGTCCTTCGACTTCGGTTTGATTTTTTTCAGTTTCAGGATAAGAGTGCGAGTTCTTCCAATGAAATATAAGTTGCACATGAAGTAAACTCGGGCCACTGAATTAAAATGGGTCTTGAATATATTTTCTTTAGAGATCATCACATCACATTTTGTTTGAGCTGCACAGTCAGGCATCTAAATGTGATTCGGCATCTCTCATACACAACTTACAGTCCTGAATGGGTGTCTTGATCCCTTACAGATCATTTCCTGTCTCTTGAAGGTGATGATGAATTCTAATACCACCGACCAGGAGCGTCTGCTTCCTCACCCTGAAGAGATAAAGGAGAAAACTTGTGAAAATACATTACAGAACTGCGTCTCCACCTCAAACATGGTGAATGCTTATAATGCTGTAAATCTGATGAGGATTAAGCTGAATTTTAAGGCTTGTCCATTCTGAATGGCCTCAGAAATATCTCGGGAAGTGCAGAAATATTTCCCGGTAGCCGGAGCTGCCTCGCTAATCCTTCTGGACATGACTTATTGAGGTTCTTCTCACTGTGATTTTCAATCCTTGGTGGGCCTGCAAGCTACACATTCATATATTCTCTCGATCCTCGAGTGGGATTTTCAGGTTTTTAAATGTATGTGCTGTGAGGGGGTTCAGTGAATTGGCCACTGATGGAATTTCAATAAGGCAGACACATGGAAAGAAAATGGAAAACTCAAGTGTAACGTGGTTTCATAAGAGGCGGAGGGAGGAATAAGCTGTTGCCTAAACTGAACATTTTTGCCTGTACATTAAGAAACTGTAGCTACATAGCAACCACATAGAATATGCTAATTTTGTACAAAATCCCACTAGAAATCAAACAAAAAAAATGCAAAAGCACACAAATGATTAGCTTCATTGAGCATAAAGATGGAGAACAGAGGGAAATAACTAGTCTTGTCATAAATGGCAATGAGAGGAATCAAGGAGCCTTTATTGGCAAATAATATAAGCTCATGTAAGCACAAAGTCCGGAAAGGTAAAAAGTAGTGCTGTCAGCATTAATCTTGTTAAAATGACATTGACGCCATAACCGCGTTAGCGCGGTTAGCTCGTTAATGCATTAGCTCCGTGCAGTCACACACACGGGGCGATCCACACTAGCTCGCTAACGGAGATTTGCCGCGTTAATGCGGTTATGGCATTAACGTCATCTTAACGAGATTAACGCTGACAGCACTAGTAAAAAGTTAGAAAACCAGGAACACATGCAGCATAACAACAGGGAATATAAACAGGTATCTCAAAGAGGAGGCGGGCTATGAATACAGTGGGAGCTAATTAAACAATGGCAGATATAAGTGAATAAGGTAAAAAGAGTAAATGGCAGGTGAAGACAACAAGCGAGAAGAAAAACACCAGTGAGACTAAAATAACAACAGAATCACAAACAGCAACCAGAGCACTGTGCTACAAAGCAAGTCCAACGTATGCGGCATGTCCCTCTGTTATCTGGTTTCATCTACCCTAACATCAGCAGTCATGCTAAGCGGTCACACAAAAGTGGCTATCAGCTCAACCGGAGGTTTAACAATCTAGCTATGAGCTAGTTTACATGAAAGCTGAAGCTTTGGCAGCATGTGACCATCAGAAACATGGACAGGTCCTCTGTCAAAAACCCCAGCTATGTTAGAGTAACAGTAACAGGGTATCAGTGCTCTGTCATTAAAACATGGACAAATCACACCATCTATTATTCCACTAAATTAATATTTAAATGTTCATAAGACCGTTATAGTTTATATTCTTTCAGCTGCAGCCCTTGGTAGCGGTAGCTGGGATTACTCTAAAGATTAAATCGAAAAGCGGAATTCAAATGTAGGCTTATGCTACGTACAAAATGATATAATTTTACAACGAATAAATCAAAATTGGGTACAAAAATCAACAGAGCTCTGCAGCCTCTAATGAAGTGAGTTTGCCTTAAGTCATCCAACACCAACAGAAGACTAACAGAGTTTAACTCAGTGCTACGTCTACACTGAGCTACTCGTAAACACTGCCGCGCACCCATGCTGTGAAGAGCTAGCTAGCACCAAGCCAACTGATGATGTGGCTGCATCATTACCCACACCCTGAGAGACGAGAAGCAGGGAACTCTTTACCTTAGGCCTCACCATTCATATCCCCTTTCACAAAATTCAATTAGATGAATGTTGTTTATGGGCAGTTCTGGCCCATTGGAATGTCATTATTGCTCCGTCTGTCGAATTCGGTATTAGATGCCCTTCAGTGAAGCTGGTCTTCCAAATGTCACGGAGCTTATGACTTAGGAGATGATTAACGAATGTTTAGAGAAGCTCAGGACACAGTTCAGCAGCTACGGTTTCTAATGAGGACTGGATGTGAGGTCTTTAATGAGGGCAGGCTGCAAGACCCCCCCAGAACCTTTTGCAGTCTTTTATTACGACTTCACAGCCGCTATAATGGATGCTTAGATCAAATACAAATCTAAAGCTCTTACCTGATCTCAGTTGTCAATATCCGATACGTGGTTTTCTATCTGTAAAGGAGAGCACATAGAGGTGGTTAACATCACAGACATGATACAGCCTTTTTAACTGAACACAGAGGTTGTATTTAATCTTTTCTAAAGGTCACTGCTGATATACGCTCAACAAGAGCAGCCATGCCAACCCGCAGAACAGTCTTTGTAGCACATTATCACAAAGTGTGATCAATGTGACCTTCAGGAAACAAATAAATCTCTTCCACCATGCCTCTGAAAAATAATCTCTTCCATTAGTGAGGACACGGAGCTTTCATCTAGGATAGCATGGCCATGTTCACCTGCTGGGTAATGGCTAATAAATAAAGCATAATAAAGAAAACAAGGCCAGGGAAATACAGATAAAACCAGTATCAATTGTTTCCATGTCACTACTTGAACTTGACGATTGTGAAATGGAAAACATATTTAAAACCTTCACCGTACATCAGTCTCTTTTACTTACCAGCAGTCTATTTTTCAGCTGAAATCACTGGCGTAATAAATGTGCGTCTAAGCCACAGCTGACTGAGATCAACTGGCTGAGTGAATACAATCAATATAAGCATTGTGGGAACTATCGCGTCAGCGGAAAGACTGATTAGTTTCAGTTTTAGATTTTCCTTGATTGGAAATAGTAATCTTTTTGAATTGTTGGTAGTTTGAAACATAAACATATATAAATGACTTCCTTACCTTCCTCACTGGTTCTAGGGGTTTTGACCAGTTATGGTGTTTTTATGATATTTTAATGAAAAGATTGTTGTAACTACACAAAAGATGTACTGTATTGCTTCATTAAGTAATCCTTCTGTTAGGCTGATAACTAAATTACACCGTCACTGGCTAATGTCAAGTATTTAAGCAGTGCGTTAAAATGAAGGTGAAAATAATTTTGCTCTATTTTGACTGCATATGTCTACGTCTAGGTTCGATTTGTTGTACATTCAGAGATGCCCTTCTTCATACCTTGGCTTTCAAAGTGGTTATCTGTTACTGTCGGCTTCCTATCAGCTTGAAGCAGTCTTGCATCAACAAGTTATTTTCACCAAGAGAACTGACACTCTGCTGATATTTTCTATTTTTCAGATCATTCTCTGTAAACACTAGTGATGGTTGTGTGGGAAAATCCCAGTAGATAAACAGTGTACAATACTCAAAAGTCTGGCAACAACAACCATATCACATTCAGACTCACCAACATCACTTTTAGTGAACTGCCAATACCAACATCGATATTGACACTTTAAACTTATAAAAGCAGTTTATGTAGAGGAGAACAGTGTGCGGTGACTTCTGAGATTAATCGTCATCAATCTGAAAATCACACATTTGAATGACCTCCAAATCACTGTGATTTTTGCTTTCTACAATAATTAATACAACAATGTACACTGTACATTAGAGAATATAGAGAACAAAACACACCTTTCAGCTTTTCACCTATTTTGAAATGATTTTTTGAGACCTAAAATGTCTCTAATGGACTTTGGGACAGCTTCTGTTGTTTAAATGGGCTACATACTGAACTACGAGGATAGAAACAAAGGATTGATCCATTACTGATACCAATGCTGGTGTCAATACTATTGGTATTTGGACTGATCTGCCCACCTCTAATCACCTTTCTTTCCCAATTTTGACTTTCGGTCTTTACTTCAGCAGGTGGTCTTGGTCTACATGCCTAAATGCACTGATTATTGGCTGTTTTACTGTGTTAACAAGCAGAAATCTATATACATCTATATAGTTTAACACATAGTGTAATATATAATTATACAAAACTGATAAAAGTTCCCTTTAGTCAAATAAATTCATGTTTTTATACCAGCTGAGAATTTGACATTTTCCACTAAATTATTATTATTTTTAAATAATCCTAATAATTGAATCTCTTTGAGGGATCATCTTTTGTTGGCCGCTTCTACTGACCTTGTGAAAGAAAACCTCTGAGCTGAACCTTCACTTCACGGTTGGACCCACACCACTTCATGTCAAGTCTGTCTTAAAAGCTCTCCTATGTGTATTGAACCCACTGCTTTAATTATAGCCTGCAAGCATGTGTATGTGTGTGAGCCTGTGCCTGTGTGTGGGCCTGAGAAGAGGCTTACTTCCACTGTTTCAGCCAGGGTCGACAGGGAGAAACTGTCAGTCCGGACGCCCTCACCATTCACTCATGTGAAGCAACCGCTCTCTTAGATCTGTGGCCATGAATAATTCTGGAAAATTAACTTTCAGAAGGCGAAGACTGTCTGCCCACTTGAGATGTCCCAAAGTGCCTTGCTTTCTTCCCCCCTGTCAGGCCTGTCAACCGTTTCTCTTACCAGATGGTGGCTACCCTCCTCGTCATAGTCATCCTCGCCTCCATCGGTCATCTCTCCCGCCTCTACGTCCAGCGCCCCCTCGCCGGCCTCCTCTCCAGAGTTTTCTGCCGTCTCTGACACAGACTCCTCATGCAGGGAGTCACAGTTGTCCTCATATTTTCTCTGAGCCTCTGAGAGAGAGAAAGGAGGCCACAGTGAATGAAGTGAGAGTGTAAGCAGGGCCTGTATTTTTCTTGATAATAATAGTAGCAGGCTGCTTTTTTGCTGTTTTCCCAGTTGTGCAGAAACAGGCCATGGTTCTCCTTACACTCAACTGGAGTGAAGTAGTTTGTCCTCAGCAAGCAACCGGGTGGCTAACACTATTTTTTTTTAATTTGAAGTAGCAAAGCATCAAATTTGGATCAAAATTCTAGCATTTTACAGTGTTTATTCTTTTACAAGCGTGACATGTTTCACTTTTTTTTCCCCCAATTAACACACGTGTGTACAGTTCTTAGCAAATTTACGAGACCGCCTGTTACATAAAAAAAAAAGCAGGAATGCACGTACGTTTTGACAACAAATTTTTCAAAAACTGTTAAAAAATTATATCACTTTTATCATTTTTAACAGCAAATTGAATTCACATTTCTATTTGAACACTGGACTTCTCAGAGAAGTCAGAAATGAATCAAGAGTAACATTAAACCACTCAAATTATATCTGCTCAGCAATGTAAATCATTTAAAAAAAAAAGCTTTACAAGTGCTTTACTATTTTTTTTTTTTACTAAATTGGAAACATTTATAAATCTAAAAATAATAATATAGTTTTTACATTAAAAATATCATTTTGAGTAAAGATCTCGCATATACACGTGGATTAATGATTACAGAGACACAAAAAATGAGTTTTGGTAATTACAGAAACTATTAATTTAGAACAACTGTGAGATATCCCTTAAACTGGGTGAACTTACAAAAAATCTGTTCAGTACTCTACATGCTGAAAGGCACTGCTGGTAACATGTTTTTATTGTGCAAGGGTTCAGACAAGGTGTTGGTACTCCATAAATAGCTTCTTAAAGAGATCATATTAAATTTAAGGGATGTAACTGCACTGAGACAGCACACCTGATTTACATTTAGATGGAAAAGGATTTAGATTTAAATTTTGTATAGTTTGCGTTATTTAAAACAAGCTCAAATATACAAAATCCACTTTTGCTAGCTAGCTACCAACAGATGTGTCAACTCCTGGATTTGCATATAGCTTAGGCTTCCTACTATTTGCCTCCACTTTCATCTTTTCTTTATTTATGAAGCCAGTTCATTTAAAGCTCCGCTATATGTGCATATTTAGGTTACAGTGTCACATGTCTGCATTAAATTATCCAGGCCACTTAACATTAGGATTATTTATTACACAAATTGTATTTTTTTTTTTCAAGATGTATCTGTGAGAACACATTTTATATCTTATTTTGATTTCTTTTTATGTTAAAACATCATAATGGCTCTTCAGTGTAGTGGTTAACACTTTTCCTGAACAAATCAGAGATCCCTGGTTTGATCCTGGGAGGAGACACAGATCACTTTGGGATTAAGTCAGGAAGCACATCCAGTGCAAAGAGTTTGCCAGATCCAACATGCAGAGCTGCCCGCTGTGAGTAAGCGGCCCTTTATGAATAAGGGATCAATCCGAAGTAGCTTTATTTAAGTATGCTGCTTTACACTGAACAGCCAAAATGTCTGTACAGCCTAGTTTAAAACGTTTTACACAAATGTTTTAAGACCACAGCCCCAATATTCTCCTCATATCACAGTTTATTATGCTTTATGACTTTTAATCTTGATGTTAACTGCAGAACTTTATTCCTGGAGAGCACAGAGAAATCAACATCCGTGTGTTGTCTCTGACTGCAGCCAGTTTTTTGTCACCTTAAGAAAAATAACTTCAAAGATTAAACACCTGGCGAGCCGTGACTTCTTGATATCCATTTTAAGACTGGCTACCTGTTGCTTTTTGAATTCATTAGAAAATCTTTTAAAACCTTAATTGAGACAGTCTGAACTTCTATTCAAAAACAGAACAAGTGAGACAGACAAAAGATGATCTGTAATAAAAATTTAAGGATATTTTATAGCAAAAAAGATGGGTACATTTTGTAGTAAATTGCCTACGGTTTTTCATTTATCCGCATTAATTTTTCATTCTCACTGCTAACAAGCTCCACAGCAGTTTGCCTAGAACACAGCTGGGAGCCGGATTGATTTACTCGGTCTTCAAGTGCCGTGGAAGTATAAGAGAGAAGTTGAAAAAAAGCCACACATGGTGACAAATGTGCAACATGGACTTTATGGCATGTAATTTAAATGACCTTCACACTGAGCTGCACTCTGAGGCTGTCCTGCAGTGAAGGGCATTGGTGAAGACCTCTCATATAAACTGAGTCAGCATGGTGTTGACGCCTGTCTGCGGTTATGACAGAGAGCTCCGCTGCTCTTATCTCCCACAATGTCACTAAGACTTATGACCAGTCTATTCTCTTAATTTCCCTCCCTTAGTGGGCGGTGTCCTTTTTCCCTTTTGTTCCCGTCTAGCTCAGATTCTGCCGTCTGCTTCTCACCAGTTTCAGCTCTCTGCTGCTTCTCAATCTTCTCCAGGCGTCCCAGCAAAGAGTCAATCTTCATCTTGATCTGAGTGAGCTCTCGTTTAATGGTCTGAAGTTGGTCCGTTTTCACTACTGAGGCACAGAAATACAAACATGATTTAATTTGCATACTCATTGTAATGATACACAGATTGCCAGCCTCCATCATATTAATACTCTTAGTCTCGAGTTTTGGATGTCATAACATCATCTGACTCACACTTTCCTCAGGGAAGAACATCTCAATCTGGCCAACTGAAAGCTACCCTGCTAAGACTATGGACCTGCTGCTTTCAATTTGAAGATTAGTGCACGGCTTACGCCCACCATGCTGTGCAGTGCTGCTCGAGTTTTACTCAACAGTGCCAATATCTGAACAAACTGTGTGTGATCACTCAGTAGATATTAGATCATGTTATTGAGCATGGAGATGGCGTGCACCTTATGGTAGTACCTGCTTGGCTGAGTGCATATTGTACATTTGGTTAGTGCTATTGAAAATTCATCATTTCCTGCTGTTTGAATGAAGCAGCCAAATGGGCTGTATTTGTATCTATGCTGTTAGCATAGACTGTAAATGAAAGATGGACACTACCAGTACCAACCAGGCTGTTTTGCAGCCATGACAACTAGAAGTCTTGTCACAAAGAAATAGATCCATCCGTCCATCCGTCCATCCAATTAGCCTAATAAGCATTTCTTTTGACTGTGGTAGTCACGGTATTTGGTCTTTGACCCAGTGTTTTATGTTCTGGACTTGTACCATAAACTGTTAAGGAAAATGATTACTGAGGATCAAGCGAAGTAATTTTCTCATAGCCATTTTTTTTCCTTTTTACAATCAAAGGATTGGACCCCTCATGGCAATCAAAGACGCATTTCCATTCTTGTACTTGAGGAGCTTTGGTGTTGATGAGCTGGCTAGTGCTTTTGGCCACTGCTAAAGTTTTTGCTGTCACTGTGATTGGTTTGTTTGTTAGCTTGATGATAGCCTCTTTCACTTTGACTGACAGCCCTTTGTACATCATATTGAGAGCTCCAGTGAACAGCTACCAAAAGCAAAAGCAACACTTTGAATAAACTCTATGTTGCTTATCAGCCTATTTTTACTGCTGAATGACAAGGGAACAGACCTCACCTGGCAATAAAACCGCTTGTCAGTCTACTGTCAAATTACTTTTGAGCCTGAGAAAAAAGTTCATGTAATACTTTTATTAAACCCTTTGAATTGAAGCTAAAAGTTTGCATTTCTTGACTCTTTGAGTTTCAATCCACTCTGTTAGTGTAACAAATGTGAAATCACAAAAATCAAGTAATTGCCCAAACATTTAAGGAGCTGACTGCATGTCTATAACAGATAGACTAATTGCTTTTCAAAGAGTGAGAAAAATTCAGAGACAAAAAAAGGAGCCATCAACGACCCCGATGAAGGCCACGAGCTGAGACGCATCGCATTGTTTCTACAACAACTCTTAGACATCCATTAGCAGCTAAGCGTGTCAAGAATGCCAAGATTAAAGTTTCTAAATATTAAACACATTTAATTAAATTCTCTGTCTCTCTTTCCAGGAAAGTACTGAAAATCGACAGTTCTTATAAATTCAACAAATCTAACTCAACCAAATCAACTGAGACTTTGTACCTCATTCACATTAAGCATTAACAGCTTCCAACAGAAGAATAGAGAATACATGAAAAGAAAAGATTCATTAGTAAAACTGCGACTTATTCACAGTTGAATCCATACAAGTTTAGTTTATGCATGTGCACAACTTCACATTATTTCATAAACAGTCAGAGACCTGTGTCATAACACGAAACTGTACTTTTGAATGATTAAGTAGGCTGAAATGAACACTTCTGCTCGCAAGGTAAACAAACAAAAACGCCTTCAAACGATATCAGTGTGTTTCAAAGCCACTTTTGCATTTCACACACTCACAGTTGCGTGATCGTTGCTTCACTTATAGAGCTGCATGAGAAACAGGCGGCACAATTTTCCCTCCCACAGCTTCTGTTTACTGCCTTATAAATAATTGCTCTCCCCTACCTGCTTCGCCCGCGGTCTAAGTGTTCGCTCCACAATACACAGCTGACGTTGGAGTAAATGAACTGTAACTCTATCATGTCAAAGTTTGAGTCTCAACCTTGATATGTCATATGGAAATAACAACTGCCGAATAAAAAAAATAAATAAAAACTCAACGTCATAACCAATTCAATCTGGTCTGTCTCACGGCTGCTGAAATGAGGGTGTACTCCTGAGCAGCTTGAACTGAGCAGATTAAAGAATTTAGACCAAACGGTAATAAGATAATCTCATTCCTTACCCCTCTGAAGCTGAAATGTGTCATCTTTTGAGAGGAGGGGGGATAAAAAAAAAACAGACACCAGAAGTTGAGAAGAAAACATAAAATTCTTTTTGACACCTATCAGATTCTGTCAGGGCTGGAAAGAGGACGGATGAGCGCTCTGTAAACACACCCACGAATTCCTGTAAAGCTTCAGCTGGAAAAACCAGAGACAGGAGAGGCACGCTAAATCAAAAAGTAACTTGTCTGGTTATCATTGTCTGCATGTGGCTCTTTAAGTTGGCTCCTGTGATGCACATTTACGCCCACATGCCATCACAACGCGAAGCCCATCCAGTCTGCGAGCTACTTTGAACGATCTGAACTAATGCATAAAACATAAACACCTACAAGATGTCAGTGCGTGATAATAACAAAAAATACAAAATCCTGACACATTACCTCGTGGTAAACTAGATTCCCCCCCAAAAAAGACTTTTTAATCTGTCACCAGAATTCGTGCTGAAAAACAAACACTACAACTCTCCCTCCAGTAGGATCCAATTCACACTACACAATATTTGTCAATGTGTGCTTTCTTTGAATCGAAGCGGTATGATTAATGTGTCCATGAAAAAGAGTGAGAGCCCATGGTGACACATTGGAGGCATTAAATAAGTAATGTGTCAGGAAATCCCAACACCTATTCTCATCTTGTTTTGTAAAGCAACCTAAAATCTGTGAAAGAGCAGAAAATTGATCTTTCTGAAGGTAAAAAAAAAAGGGGAACAGTAGATACGCAATCATATCTCTACAGGGCACAAACTGAGGTATCTCTATCTCCTTCTCGGCTTTGCCTCCTTCCATTTGTGCAAACCAACATCGATGACTAGACACACATATACCACCCACTTCCCTATTCCAACATCATCTGAGCTCACTCTGGGCAGCTTCCTCGTCGTCCTTTGATGATAAGAAAATGTGGAACAGTTTCTAATTTATCGCGGCCTCCAGGCCTTTTTTCCTTTTGTGCTATCAGGCGCATAAGCTGCAGAGAGAAAACATGCCCGTCCTAATCCAACATTGTATCGTCAGCGCAGCATCTTTAGATAGCTGGAGTTAAAGGAAAAGGCTGGGGAAAAAAAGTCATTGTTATTTAATAAGCATCAGGAAAGATTTAGGGAATGAGTAATGGGTCTAATTTTAGGACCTCATGATGAACGGCAGACGTTTTATCTTGGGGATAGTGAGACTCTCTTGAATCATTGGTCTATGAAGATTAAAATGGACAAAGAGTTTTAGGG